GACAATGAATCTATATATCACCACCCTATCTGGTCTGACCTCTTCAACCCACTGTAATCCTATTATTACTGCCAGCCTTTCTGCTGTGTACACTGATAATTGATCAGACGCTCTTTTTGAGATGGATATTTTAAAGTCTGGGATGTATACCAACTCCAACACACTCTTCCTTGTTCTTAGAACCCTCTGTGTATATGTTGAGGTAATTGTAGTACTTTTCGTTCAGATACATACTTGTTTTAATTCCCACTTCATTTATTTGCCACTCTTTTTTCCTTTCTATGATACTCACATCTATCTTAGCTTCTGGGGAAAGCCATGGGGGAATACTCCTAAATGGGGTTGCTTTGGCAAACTTGATGGTCTCCACTCCATATGCCCTCGTTCTCTCCTTACTCGTCCAGCCAAACCCACGTCCCTGGAACTTTGTATATTCCCAGCAATCCTGCAGTATTCTGTTTGTGATATTTTCCTCTCCACTTCCTTGTAGCCTGACCCAGTGTGACAGAGCAAGTTTCTCTCTTCTGATCTCCAGAGGCGTCTCTCCTGCTTCTATCAGAACTGCATTAGGGGATGACTTTATCGCTCCAATACACAGCTGCAATGCTTTATATTGTAGTCTATCAATTTTTAAAAGCGATGTTTTTGCTGCTGCTCCATACACTATACAACCATAGTCTATTGTGGACCTCAACATTGATCTGTAAATGTCTATTAATGCTTGTTTGTCTGCGCCCCAGTTGCATCCAGCTACAGCTCGCAATAAATGTAATACTTTTTTGCATTTTGTTTCCACTTGTTTAATATGCATTTTCCATGTGTATTTGCTATCAAACCACAGTCCTAGGTATTTGAACTCATTCACCTTTGTCATTGGACGATTATATAGTGTTAGCTGTTGGCCATCAATCTTGCATTTGTATTTGTAAATACCATGTAGCATGATTTGCTTTGTTGCCTTTATTCTTTTTCTGGTGACTTGTGTCATGTTTTTATGAATTAAAATAAACGAAAAAGAAAAGACAATTCTGAGTATCTTTATTTTGGCAAAAGAGTTAACAATTGACGTTTTACAACTGAGTTTAAACTTCCAAAATTAACAAAAAATAAACCTTTTTGCAGACATGCAGCATAAAGGCATAATGTAAGTATGTACGGTGGCCCTGAAATGCAAGACACCACAGCATTTCACAAAACACTACAGCATTTCACAAAACACCGATCAGGCTAAACTAACCTGTAGCTGCTTCGTCCACACTCACAACAACGTCATACAGACATAAATAAAGCAGCGACTGTATTCGCCATGACACAGACAGTCTGTGGTTTGTACTTGTTTAACTTTTGTTGTACTTCTGATGTGTTGGGACATGTTGCGCTGTCGGGTGCTGACCAAATCACGAAGCGTCATTTCTTGACTGGCAGCAAAAACAACCAATCACAGCAGTGCTTCTCTGGCTGGCTCTGTCCAATCACAAACAAGAAGTGTTCTCCCTAAAGGAATACCCTTTCCGTCCAATGTGAAATGCTGTGGTGTTTTCTGAAATGCTGTGGTGTTTTGCACTTCAGGGCCACCGTACCTCTCTTCTGTCTGGCCTTGAGTCAGGTTGTGACGGATATCTTTTGAAAAGAAATAAAGAGTTAAAATCTAAAAATAAAAACAGAGACAGGAGGGACAAACAAAGGTGACTCTTATATATAAAAAAGATATGCTGTATGTTCTCCTCTTTCAGCTCTGAGGTTCAAGATGAATTGTAATTTGCACAACAACTACAGTTTAGTTTGGGCAATGAACATCTTAAGTCCCAGCCTCCCACAACAATGAAAAAATATATATACATGAGATAAAAGAAAAAAAGATATAGTACAAAATAGAAAGATAAAACTGTAATAATACCTCGTCATTTATTAGTTGATCTATCATTTTGCATTAACAGCTAATAAAGTAGCTAGTAATTAAAGCTGTAAAATAAGAAATTTTGAATAAAAAACTTACTATCAATCAAAAATCTAAAAGTGAAAATGCTGTATTACTGAATATTCTCAAGTGACTTAACCTCTTAAGCCCTGAGCCTGTTTTTCAGGTCTCAGGCTCGAAAATGACATTCCCAGAACAAATGACCATATCTTCCCTTCTAAAGGGTTAAATTAATAATCTTTATCTCAAAGTAATGATAAACCTGTGAGTTGGATGTAGAAAAGTCAGAATCAATATAGATGTTTTTATTTTAAAGAAAATTCAGATTTTACATAGTAAAAAACTGTAAATTATAGTGTCCGTCCAAAAATTATTTTTTACTATATAGTGAAAATACCCTTGGATGATGGGTTTAGTAGACTAAAAGCTTTAGGAATCCAAGTACAACATATAATAAGTACCCTGTATCAAGATTGATGCAAAACAAGTGAAACTTGACCTTTTTAGAGAGATTTAGCCAAAAAAACCCCCACTTCTGGGGTCATTTGGGTGGATTTGACCTATCTCTGGCCCTCCTTGGTCGATTTTGATGAATGAAATCTCTTTGTAACCGCTAGAGCCAATGGAATCGAGGGAAAGTTATATACACACCAAAACATTAACAAATAAGGAGTGAGAGTGACGCGTTACCAAAACCGGAAGCTGCATACACTCTGGTGGCTACCATTAGCAGCTAACTTTTCCGCTCCGATTTTACAAAAAAATGGAATTATGGATTATAAATAATTTTTTAAAAGGCTCAGGTACATTATCAACCTATGGATCAACAGTTGTAGATTTTTTTTTTTTCGTTTTAATGCCATTGAACACGTCTTTTGACCTAATTGACAGCTACGTTGAGACGATCTGCCGTAAAAGCTCCGTAAAGGTACGTGTTGTGATGTCTGTGTTTGCTTCCCCTGTCGCAAGTTCGGATCGCTCAGTGATGATACTATACCTAAATAATCAGTGGAGTCTCAGCTTTAATAGGCTATATTGTATGTGCAGCTACGATAAGTAATAAGGGTATCTTTATCTTGAATTGTGTGCCGCAGTGCGTTAGAATCTTTTTCGCTCAGGGGTCATTTAGACCCTTCTTATGAGACTTGTGTTTTGTTTTGGTAAAAATGGTTCATATCTTCAGTTAGCTGAGATTCTTCCCGTTAATCTGGTGCTACACATTAACGGACCGTCTACACAGCAGCGTTAAAAAAATCTTGGAGGTGGGCGTATCTGAAGCTTGAGGATTTTTTGCGAGCAAGGCACGAACAACCAATCACATGAATCTCCCGCCCGCGACATACGAAGCAAAAAAGCCCGAAGTAAACTGGATATAAACTCCCCAAAACAGGCGAAAACCTACCACTGTCTCTGCCACCTCCCTCCATGCCTGGCTCCTCCGGTTTATATTCCGGTAGGTCTGGTCATAAAGCACCGGGTGATTGATTCGCTACCGCTAATTTCTCCTCCATTTTTTGGAATATGAGGAAATGACCTGCGGTATGTCTCTCCCAGCATACACGCCGTTTGATTGGCTAGAGCTTGAACTGTCAGATTTGCGTACACAGGATTTGATTGGCTGACGCTTCCACCTCAGCCTCAAAAGTTGAACATTGTTCAACTTTGAATCCTGAAAATCCTGAAAATCTCCGCTCGCCTGCCCACAATGCAGTTCGGCGAAAAGTGAGGGAAAGTGACGTCACCCCATTCAAAGTGAATGGGCAGAAGCGTTTCAAGATTTTTTTAACGCTGCTGTGTAGACGGTCCGTAATAGTTTCATAAATGTTAAGAAGCCCTGAGACATTATCTCGAAAACAAAACGGTGGGAGGGGTCCAATGGGGGGACCGCCGTGCTTAAGAGGTTAAAGGGGACCTATCATGCAAAATGCACTTTTGTACGTCTTTTATACATGAATATGTGGCCCCGGTGTTCCAGGGAACTCACCAAGTGTCAGAAAACACAACCCTCTCTATTTTCCTCCATACCCAAATCTCTAAAAAAGGGGCTGCAACGGATCTGATAAAAACTGATCCAGATTTGAACACTGTCCTGACGTCAGGACGGTGGCACTACGGCTATTGGGCCAACTCCACCAATCAGGAGGAGACAGCCACGGCCATTGCCGTTCGAAAGCGCTGGAGACGCTGTAGTACATATGCCAGGCCTGTAGATGGTGCTGTTGCTCACAGAATCAACCCTTGCAAAAACAGAGCTAACATTTTTCAAATTGAGCGAAATGAGGCATGGCTAAAATGCATGATCTGTTTGGTATTTTGAAAAAAAAAAAGTATAAATATGCCTTATATAGGTATGGTCCTACACTATATTATTCAAATATAGCATGATAGGTCCACTTTAAGTAAATGTACTTAGTTACATTCCACCATGCCTGCACAGGAATCCTCTGATTTAGATGAATAAAGTTCAGCACATTTGATCTGTTATTGTCTTCAGAGAGAATTTATGGGATTTAAGTACATTTTACAGAAAGATAAATGTGTCGTCTACATACACGTATATATTCTTTTAAATGTTTTATACTGAATGCTATAAGATAGCCACTTTTTAAGCGCATCCTATAATTTTGGAGCAAACCTCCATCAAATCAGTTGAAGATGTGTTTTTTAACCATTCCACATGCGTTCTTTGCACAAAACCTGAAAGAACAAAATGTTTTCCCCATAAGGATCAATACAAAATGTGACCATAGACACCTTCATCATCTAATATCTCCAAATATATGCATAATAAAGATGTCAAACTTGGTATACTGGCTCCCTATAAATTTGCGCATAAGATCCCCAAACATGGTCCTAATAACGCCAACATCTGGCCAATGTTAAAGCACTTTGCATTACTTTTGCACAGTTACCGACCTTCTTATTGTTGTAACAGATCATTTTTACAATGTTATATAGGACTTTCACTTTAATGAAGGAGCGGAATACATTATAGATGTAATGTAACAGAAAACACACACATGTACATGTTTGAGTTAATCGGAAGTATTTTATTTGTGTTTTCTGGAACGGTTTGCTTGGTGTTGACAGATGTTTGTTGTCTCAAACCTCCTGGCTTTCAGAGCTGACCTCTTCATCGTCAGTGTACTCTTTGGTGATGATCAACACTTTCTGGGTTTTTGTGGTTGCCGGCGGGCTGCAGGACGACACAAACAGTTAGTTTCTATAACAATACTTTTTTTCTTTTAACCATTAATTTTTTCTTTTATATACACACCACTTTAAGGTAGTTTTTTCCCCAATTTTAACCCTTCTACAGAAAGTCTGCTTAGCATTCACACATCTCCATTTCTTTTTATTAGTTGCAAGATATATTATTTGTATGTTATCTGTGACTCGGACACCATTTTGATTGTCAATTTGGTTATTATGTATTAGTATATGTGTTGTATAAAAAGGAAAAAAATGGTTAACCCTTTTTTCTTGGTAAATAATCATAATTTGAAATATATTTAAAAAAAAAAGGTTTTCCATGAACAACCATTTTTGTCACACAAATTTGATTTATTCATCTGTCTCCCAGAATGGGCCGGTGCATTCACCTGAACAACTCTCCGTCCAGCAGCCTCCTGTACTCGGAGATCTCCATCTCCAGCCGGGTCTTGGTGTCCAGCAGGACCTGGTACTCGTGTCCCTGCCTTTCTAGGTCCGACCTGAGCTGAGCTAGCTGGCCCTCAAGGACCAACACCTTGTTCTGGTAGTCTCCCATCATGTTGGAGTAGCGGTTCTGTGTGTCACCGAGGGTCCCTTCCAGAGACGCTTTCTGAAGAAGGAGAAGAAAGAGTGTGAGGATTCAAAGATTCATAGGCTTTATTGTCATATGTGGAATAGCAATCGAATAAGATACAACTGAATGCCATACTTCATTAGTACTTATGGTGCTAAAATATATTTTAATTAAGATTGAATCCACCTTTATTAATTCCCAAATGGGAAATGTGTGCTTCATTCTGGTGTTATTTTACAATTACACACAGGCAAACTGGCCCTTCTCCAGCTACCAGTCCATACTCCATATTTCTGGTCTTATCTGCACCAATTCGATTCCCAAGCCAAGTCCCTTCAGACTGAGCTACTGCTGCCCAATTTTGATGCCAATACTTTTGTTTTTGAGTAAAATTTGTATTTCAGGACTTGTATTTGTGACCACTCTATTATGGTATTTCTCCTGAAGTAAGAGACCTGATTACTTCTTCCTCCATTGATTGAATGCTACAGTATACACACCATGCTGAGCTGGGCTTGGAGCTCAATCTCCAGGCCCTGCACCGTGCGTTTAACCTCCGTTATCTCGGAGCGAGAGGACTGGAGAGTCTCTGTGCTCACTGCCACCTCCTTATTGAGTTCTTCAGACTACAAAAACAACAAGAAAACATTGAAAAGTACATTAGAAATCAGATCTGCTTATAAATCAAACTGTATGAAGATGACACTGTCCCTTTTAATTCACAAACCTTTATTGCTCTCTACCTCTGGACGTTTTTATCTTTGAAAGTCGTAATCATGACATGGTAGGCTAAAATGTTTACCCAACATCACATATTTTTTCCTGGTATATCATATAATATTGATTTTAATAGTCTTTCATTGCATTAAAATGCCTTTATTATAGAGACAGAAAGATAGACTGGACTGCTATCGTTTTTTAGTGTAGTCTAGTCTAAATGCGGAAAAACACAATCTTGCTAGAAATAATCCAGTTTGAGGAAGATGATTTCAGATGTAATTAATGAAATGTCATAAAAGGGTTGATTTTGCTCACCTTGGCCTGAAACCAGACATCCAGATCTCTCCGGTTCTTGTTTGCGACGGTCTCGTAATGTTCTCTGATTTCACCCATAACAACAGACAGGTCCTGCTGCGGTGCGGCATCCACCTCCACGTTCACCTGACCCCCCACCTGGGAGCCCATGGCCAACAGGTCCTGCAAGAGCACAGTTCCAATAAAAAATTAAGTCGATAATAAAGAATAGGTGTTTGTCAGAATACAAATGTGAGTGTTTGTTGCATGCTTTTCTCTTTTTTCATGTCATTTTTAAATGAATCTCATTTTAATTGCTTAAGACTTTGGATTTTTCATATGTTGGGACATTACCAGCACCCAGTAATAAAGATTGGATTTATTCGCAGTCCTTTTCTGAGATACTGGTATGTTGAAAATAACTAAATTCGTTTTATTTTCAATATTTTACTTCTTTTAAAATCCAGCTGATTTAAATCTTATTGAGTTTGCAGGTTGTCGCCTACCTCCTCGTGGTTCTTCTTCAGCTGGATGAGTTCATCCCGCAGAGACTCAATATTCATCTCCAGATCCGATCTGCCCAGTGTCAGCTCGTCCAGGAGCCTCCTCAGCCCGCCGATGTCCCCCTCCACCGACTGACCCATGGCCAGCTCGTTCTCATACCTGCAACACACCAACCATCCCATTAGCTACTCCACCCAAAACAAACCCAGAGAAATCACAGCAAATTCTCCTTTCGGTACATACTGTAGCGCATACTATAGTGCATCAGTACTTGATAAGGTGTGGCTTATTTGAAGATAATGTACTTACAGTACAGGGTTCTTTCTGTTGATTAAACAACTATGAATATCCAATAATAATAATAATAATTAAATTAATGATCATGATCTCACTTGACCCTGAAGTCGTCAGCGGCCAGCTTGGCATTATCGATGGCCAGGTACAGAGATCCATTTGTGGTGGTGGCGTAAAGGATCTGAAACAAAGAGGACTCACCTTTAGTCTTTTATTCATCATCAGACTCTCTAAATATAACGTGTACTGAGAATCAAAGACAAGATATTATCTCAATTCTACACAATGACATTTCTGCAATGAAATGATTAAGTCCCAGTCTCCTCCAACACTGCAAGAATGGGAAACATGTGTGCAATAAAAACAGCACACTAAGTCCTATCTGCAGGTTCTTCCTGTTTTAGACTCAAAATGAAAAGAGAAGAGATAACTATATTCAAACATAAGTCAAATTTCCGCCTCAGTGTTTTTGTGTTGCCTGTATGCACATCATGCAAAACTGGAGCCCGAGCCTGATCCCGCTTCAGGAAGCCTTGCTGTGTTTAGGGTGTGTCTGAACCTGAATGCATCTTGCAGGAAACACATCTTGTTCGTCTGCAGGCTGCACACCTGAGGGGCCTAACATTGTCAGGGAGGAGGAATCTCTGAGCTGAACAAGATTCATATTCACATGATCTCATTCTTTATTGTGGCTCTGCTTTGGGATTAGGGTTGAACATGAGACAGCCTCCAGTCCTGCAATCTACCTACACTGAGGCAAATGTTTGCAGTGCTTTTGGAAATATGAATGCTTTAAGATCTCTTGGAATTCTCAAGAAAAGAAAGAAACATGTTATCCCGTGGACTGTTAAAATCAAGCAATGAATCAAGTAAACCAAATAATTACCATCGGGGAGGAGATCAGATTTTAAAACTACTTTATTCCTACTGCAATAAAAACATAAAATATGAAAACCAACAAAGCCTTATCTTTACTTTAATCTTTGTCACTGTCACCACTTTGCATCTTCCTCAGCAGCTATACTTGTATAATGTTTCTTGTACCTCTCTTTGTCTTGTATTTTCTGCATTGGGTTTTATGACGTGGGTGGAAGCTCAATCCAATTACCCTACATTGCGGGACAATAATGTGAAACCTGACTCCCTCACCTGCTCCTGCATGTCGCTGATGGCTGCCTTGAAAACGGAGCAGTCGTGGCCTTCGGGTTTGGTCTTGTTATCCAGGAATTGTCTGATCTTCAACTCCAGCTCTCCGTTGGCCTTCTCCAGGATGCGCACCTTGTCCAGGTATGTGGCGAGGCGCTCGTTCAGGTTGGTCATGGTGGCCTTCTTGTTGTTGTCATTGACATCTATGGCGTCTTTCAGGTTGAAGCCTGACCCGACTCTGGAGGAAAACCCTGACCGGGCTCCGGAGGAAAACCCTGACCGGGCTCCGGAGGAAAACCCTGCTCCGGCTGAGGAGAAACTCCTGGGGACACTGCTGGAGATGCGGACCCCGGACCCCCTGGCGCCACCGTACACGCTGGGGGCCCTCATGGAGCCTAGGCGGTTGCTGGAGGAGAAGCGAGCGTAGGAGGTCATGGTGGAGGAGTGCTGCTGCTCGGGATGTAGAGAAGAGTAAAGCACACTTTGTACTCAGATGCTTTATAGCGCCTGGAGTGAGGGGGGGGGGGGGGGGGGGGGGGGGTGCAGGGTCAAACACAAACGACAAACACAGTGAACAATCACAGCAGGAATTTCAAGCATCTGTCTGATGTCACTCTAAAAAGCCTCTGTTTGTTTCTGACAAGGTCTCTAAGGTTACTCAATCATCGTGTTTGCTCAGATGTATCTCCTCCTAAACCTGCAAGAATCTACTTTTTTTATCTATTTGATCAGATGTGGAACATGTTCAGACCCTCGACCCTCCTCTGCTCCCCTCCTCCCCAATGGATTCCTGTTAGCATGCTGAAACCTGTATAAGTAATGTTCCCCTGCAGAACCACTCACAGATGCCCCTCTCATGTCTCATTGTGCAACAAACAATGGAGCTCTTTGTGCCGACGCTCTGTTTGCTGTCGCTTCACATGAGCATACACCCTGCGGTGGCTTTATGGTGAACATTTTTGAAACTCAAATGCAGCAATCCCACAAACACTTTATTATATGAAACTACGGACTATCAGTTTTTAAAAAATCTCTCTTGATCCTTTAAAAGAAGAACGTCAACTATTGCAAAAATATTCTGATCTTTTAAAGGTCCCCTATTGTGCAAAATCCACTTGTTCATGTCTCTTCTACATCAACATGTGTCCCATCTTCTTCATGTCTCTTCTACATCAACATGTGTCCCCTCTTCTCCATGTCTCTTCTACATCAACATGTCTACATCAACATGTGTCCCCTCTTCTTCATGTCTCTTCTACATCAACATGTGTCCCCTCTTCTTCATGTCTCTTCTCACACATGTGTCCCCTCTTCTTCATGTCTCTTCTAAATCAACATGTGTCCCCTCTTCATGTCTCTTCTTCATCAACATGTGTCCCCTCTTCTTCATGTCTCTTCTACATCAACATGTGTCCCTTCTTCTTCATGTCTCTTCTACATCAACATGTGTCCCCTCTTCTTCATGTCTCGTCTACATCAACATGTGTCCCCTCTTCTTCATGTCTCTTCTACATCAACATGTGTCCCCTCTTCTTCATGTCTCTTCTACATCAACATGTGTCCCCTCTTCTTCATGTCTCTTCTACATCAACATGTGTCCCCTCTTCTTCATGTCTCTTCTTCATCAAATGTGTCCCCTCTTCTTCATGTCTCTTCTACATCAACATGTGTCCCTCTCTTCATGTCTCTTCTACATCAACATGTGTCCCCTCTTCTTCATGTCTCTTCTACATCAACATGTGCCCCTCTCTTCATGTCTCTTCTACATCAACATGTGTCCACTCTTCTTCATGTATCTTCTACATCAACATGTGTCCCCTCTTCTTCATGTCTCTTCTACATCAACATGTGTCCCCTCTTCTTCATGTCTCTTCTTCATCAACATGTGTCCCCTCTTCTTCATGTCTCTTCTACATCAACATGTGTCCCCTCTTCTTCATGTCTCTTCTACATCAACATGTGTCCCCTCTCTTCATGTCTCTTTACATCAACATGTGTCCCCTCTTCTTCATGTCTTTCTGCATCAACATGTGTCCCCTCTCTCCATGTCTCTTCTACATCAACATGTGTCCCCTCTTCTTCATGTCTCTTCTACATCAACATGTGTCCCCTCTTTTCATCTTCTTCATCAACATGTGTCCCCTCTTCTTCATGTCTCGTCTACATCAACATGTGTCCCCTCTTCTTCATGTCTCTTCTACATCAACATGTGTCCCCTCTTCTTCATGTCTCTTCTACATTAACATGTGTCCCCTCTTCTTCATGTCTCTTCTTCATCAACATGTGTCCCCTCTTCTTCCTGTCTCTTCTACATCAACATGTGTCCCCTCTTCTTCATGTCTCTTCTACATCAACATGTGTCCCCTCTTCTTCATGTATCTTCTACATCAACATGTGTCCCCTCTTCTTCATGTCTCTTCTACATATACAAGTACCTGTCACTTTGATGGACAGGTACGTGCCTCACTGTCAGCTAACAGCAACTTGTCCACTCTGATAGGCTAGAACGTTAGCTAGTTGTAGTTACTGTACTTGACCCTTTAGCCGTGTTCGTGGTGATTGTGCCTTTTAGGGAATGTTGTTACAAATACCAGACAATTAAAATGTCGTGCTGTGTGGTTGAATGTACTAACAGAACTTCCAAGAAGTCTACTCTCAGCTTTTTTGTTGAGTAGAATGATAATATTATACATGTTAGCAGGTGTTTGTGTGCTTGTTAGCTTAGCTTGTTATATAGCTTATTAGCCAGCTAAAGACGTAACCCTTTATACATGTATATATATATATATCAGTGACGTGCAGTCAGGGGAGGCAGGGGAGGCAGAGCCTCACCTGTCATACTCCAATGTAACAGAAAAACAACTAAAGAAAAACTAAATAGTAATAATAATAAAATGTCTCCACTGATCTGTGTTGTAAGTGTGATTTCTGTATGATTCCAATCGCTTTTTACAGTCAAAATCAGCAAATTGGCCGAGCTCCGCTACAACTACATGGGAGCGATGAGGATTGAGGCAGGGACGAGCTCTGCCTCACGTAAGCCCACAGTAACTGGCTGGAGCGCGGGCACTAATGTAGTGCATTTGCTTACTGTGGGGTGAGGTGAGGCACAGATGAGCTCTGCCTCACCTCAGAATGTGTCACCCCACAGAAACTGGCTGGAAAGTGGGCCCGAAGCACATGCCTGTTACCATCTCACTGTATGTCACCAATGTAATGTTTGTAGATCCCTTTATTACATTTATCCTCGCCATCCATAGTCTCTAAATAACTTATTTCACGTATATATGATATTTAGGCCCGCTGGTCTCATCATACAACGGCAATGAAAAAAGCACCAGGAGAGGCAGCCATAACGTGAGCCCACAGGTTCTTGTTGCTACTGTTATTCTACGCAGAGACGGTAGACGCAAACAACAAACTAGACTTTTGTTTTGAAACTAGAGGGAGATAAGGAGGACTTTTACAAAAAAGTAATGGAGATTGTTGTCCAGAAGGATAGCATGGACTTCATCTACAAGTCAAGGTAAGACCACAATTGTAATGAACATGGGATCTTACTAAGAAAGAACAATCCAATATTTAGATTTTGGGTATCCTTTTGTTGAACGGTCTGTTTAAAATGAATCGAAGCATCAGACTAAAAAAGCTTTTGAAAATAACTGAATATTTCGATTAAGGTCAAAATATAATATTTGTAAATCTGACTCTGAAAGAGTCAGTGCCTCACCAGCCATGAACCTTACCGAATGTCACTGATATATATATACAGTTTAGTTTATGATTCAGCCTTGGGTAAGACTTTTACAGTCTATGGTTATGACGCCCATAATGTTAAACGGGAACAAATGTTAAAAGGGGACCCAATTATCCCAGTGGTGGCTGCCGGAATCCGCCGGCCAGAGCTAACGGAGCCGCAGGGAGTTAGCTAGCCCCCGTTAGCTCCGTTAGCTCCGGCGGCGGAGTCCGGCGTTATAACTGGAGATCAAGGAATGCAGCGAAACACGGACTTGGTTCGCCTGCAGCCCGCTGTAGTATTAGTTAAATAAATGATGTTGAACAAGGCTTATTAAGTGAGCATGAGCATGTGAGCATTTTAGCCTAGCTTGGCAGCTTCAGCTAGATCGGGAGCTTGGAGCCCCGCCTTGTGCTTCAGAAGCAGGTCCCGCCTCGGCTCCGCATCTTTGCCCTTTTTTGGATCAGGCTGGAGCAGGCGGGAGTTAGACTCTGACGTCACTGTCGAGCCGTTAGTGGCCGACTCCGCCTACTAAGGCTTCTCTGCAACTCTGCAGAATCCTATGGGTGACGTCACGGAACCTACGTCCATTTATATATACAGTCCATAGAGTGGCAAAGTCACGCCCATCTACTTCCGCCCCATGGGACCTTATTTCGGAAAAATAATGTATTGAAGTCAATGGAGAGAGAAAACTTATCTTTCGATCCCGTTTGAATTGTGCCATGAATTACACATATGATGTTTGTCAATCTTAAAAAAAATCATTTCCATGTCAAAAAAGTCACAGTTTGTCGTAAAACTGTTGAAATATAAGACTATGAAAAATACGCAACTAGAAAGACTACAAATCCCAGAGTCGCGTAAGTGATGTCACAATTGTTTTCCTCCACTAAGAGATAGCTAAGATCAGCGCCATATAGATAGAATCTATCTATATGGCGCTGGCTAAGATAAGATAACTTTAACAAGATGCCTGTGTGCTTAGTACCAGGTTGTTATCATACCAGCAATGGGTCTTGCTCGTTCTTTCGCTTCCCGTCTGATGAAAGGACCAGGAGTGTCTGGATCAAGCTAGCTAGTAGCTAGCACGTTAGTTAGCATTACAGCCTTGTCATTTTTATTAGCCTTAACATGAAGTAACATTAAGTTACCCAAAATGTTAAACAGTAAGAGTAGTAATCATATTTCGTGAACCCTTTGAAGAGTACTGTCACACCGGTGTGATCATTCTATAATACACCATTTAAGCCCGGGGGAGAAATGCTAACGCTAACGCTAGCGATCTTCTCTACTTCATGCTTTCTGCACAAATGGTTGACATTAAACATTAAAAAGACCATTCAGTTCAGAGAGAATCAAAGGAAGGCAGGCAGGCAGCTTTGCATGACTTTCTTCAGGACGTGTTTCATTGTGGTGATAGTGAGGGTAGTCAATCGTTTTGTTGACAAGACAGTAGTGACGGCCATCTTGGTGACGTGTGTTGTTCTGTGAGACCAGAGATGTAGTTCATTGAGCGTTTCACACAAACCAATGTGTTACTTCACAGTTTTACGACACCTTTTTTGACTTGCAAAATTATCTTTTAAATTGACAAACATCATATGTGTAATTCATGGCACAATTCAAACGGGATCGAAAGATAATCTTTCTC